GGCAGAGATGAGACTTGAACCTGGGTCTACTGAGTCCAAGATAGTCCTACGTAAAGGAACTAAAGGAGCATGCCCAGGACATGGCTGGAGAACAGAAGTGAAGGGGGAAGAAACTTGGTGGACAGATCAAGGCTGCATTGTGGGGTCCTGAATGCCATAGTTTAGTAGTCAACTGGAGGGGGAGGGAAAGTGGAGGCATTGACAGTTTTTGAGTCAGAAAGACACTCGACTTTAGAAAGATTAACCTGGCACTGGGTATAGGTAGAAAAGGGTGCAAGAGGAGAGACAGGAGGTAAGGACCTCTGCTGAACATCCAGGTAGAAAGAAATGCACAGTGAACTGGGTTGTTGCAGACACTGGGGCAGGGGCTGGAAGGGGGAATGCCATGCAGCAAGACTCAACCAGATGTGGCTACTTCCTCATTAGGCCCACATGATCTGGCCCTATGTCTTTGATCCCACCTTCTCCCACTTTTCCCCACTCCCTGCACCCCTGCCACCCTGACCTGGAAATGTCAACTCTGTCTCCACCCTAAAGTCATGGTACTTGCTCAGTATTTCTTCTGCCCATAACTCTTTACCTTAAATCTTTGCATGGCCCATTCCTTCTCCTCAGGTCTTGGCTTCCATACCACCTGCTCAAAAAGGCCCTCTGTGACCACCCTATTGGAGTAAGTGCTCAGTCACTATTACCTCAGCAGGTTTTAATGCCTTCATCACCATTATCATAGCTGAAGTTAGCTTGTCCACCTCCCTCCACGCATCCATCTACTACAATGGGCACTAAAGGCAGGTGAGAATCTTATCAGTCTTGCTAACTGATGTATTCTGTGTGCTTCAGCAGAGTCTGGCAAAAAACTGACATTCCACAACTACATGTCGAATGGCAGAATGGATGAGAATTTGAATGGATGGATGGATGCATTGGTTGAGAAAGAAGAAGGGATCATGGCTGATGTGGGGATCTGATCTGGGCAGCCAGAAAGAGACAGCACCACAAGTTGAGACAGAGCAGGAAGCAGGGAGCAGACTGTGTGTGGGAAGATGGTGAGTTTGGCTTGCGCCTGTTATGTTTCATGTGCAGGTGGGGCCTCCAGGTGGAAAGGTCCATTTATACAGTGGGAAATACTGGCCAGAGCCAAAAGAAGTGATGGAGCTCTCAGTCATGATGGTAGGGGCATCTGCTCAGAGGTGTAAACTGAAACAATGGATGTTAGCGAGGTCCCTAATGAACAAGGTGATACAGAGAGAACAGGATAAGAAAGGAGGGCATGGAAGGATAAGCAAGAAGATCAGCCCATGGGGCCAAATTCTTCAGGAGGAAGTAGGGTGAAAACCAATCAGTGGTTAGGATACAAAGAGATCACCAGGATATTTAGAGCCTGGTAAAGAGATGGGTGTGCCCAGAATGGTGAAAGCCAAGGTTGTGGGGGTCTGAGAGTCAAAAGGGTAGGTGGGGTATTGGTGAAAGTCAGGAAATCATATGCATATGTAACCCACCCCCACCCAGCCACACACCCAGGCCCAAGCCCTCCACAGAGGCTGACTGGCAGGGAGGAGGCAGGGCAGGGGAGACTATGATTTATTCGTATCTGCCATGTCCTAGGCACTGTGTAGCCATATTCACATTCATTGGTTTACTTAACTATGACAACAACCTTACAAGACACAAACAATCATTAGCCTTGTCTTCTGTGAGGAAAACGAAATCAGAAAGGTTTCATGTGCCACTTAAAGTCACAGAACCTGGTGATGATAGATCTTGTCTGGGTTTGTCTACCATGTACCCTCAGCCACTCTGGCAACAGGGCACTGGAGACTATAGAAAATAACAAATTGATGCTCACAGATAGATTGTCCAGTTCCCATGTGGGATTCACCCACAGTCTGGTTTCATTGAAGTAGTGGGTCTGGGGAAGTATATGGGTTGGAAATTTGAAGATGAAAATTCTCTGGCACCAGGGAAAGGCCAACTCAAGGTGGATCAAGATACAAGACTGAGGGTTACAAATGGCCATGGGTGGTGCCTGCCATGTGTGGGAGCGGCCTGGGTGACCCTCATCATCATGACACCTACTCCCATGTCTATAAGCTATGGCAGTCCATTCACAGACTGCATGGTGGGCCAGGCAGAGATGCAGGGATGGAGGAATGGAAGCCTCTGCTTTACACAGGGGAATAACACTAAAGCCAAGAGAAGCTCCCCTGCTTGGTACTACCTCTCTCAGAAAGACAAACATGGAGGAGCCACACCAGGCAACTGGTCCAGGGCCTCAGAATCCAGAGCTGAAAGACTAGGAGAATTCTCTGGCCCTTCTAAGAGCCTCCTTTGTAACTCTTTTCTGTCTCCTAGTGGCCATCACCTGGGAGGTCAATTTCATGCCACCCATGAACAGCATGCTCAACCTCATTCTCTGTTACCATCACCATGGCCTCCTTCCATGACCAAGTGGGGCAGCACTGTGCCAGAAGGTCCCCTAGCTGCCTGCCTGGAAAAGTACTGGCTTGGGCTTCACACCAGTATTGCGTAACAGCAGAGCTGCTTGAGTGATCTCCTATCCTACCATCATACATGGGTTGCCTTATTGTTTTCCCAAAGTCAAGGGGCTAACAGGCCCTCTGCTCCACTCTCTTCTAGGTCTAGCCAAGACCCCCAGGCAGCAGCAGTGAGGAAAGGCCAATGAAATGTATGTATGGCTGAACCCAGAAGAGATTGGAAGAAGGTGACAGACAGAGAAAGGAACTTGACAAGTACCCTGATCTGTTCAAGCTGGGTAAAGGTACAGACTGGGATGGGCCATGCTGAACATTTACCGAGTCAGACTTGTGACAAGGTGATCACTGGCCTGTTTGGCCCAAGAGGAAGCCGAGGTTCCGAGAGAGAGAGAGAGAGAGAGAGAGAGAGAGAGAGAGAGAGAAGGACTGTTTTCTCCAGGCTGCTCAACAGTATTCAAAGGGTGCAAATAGACCGGTTGGAAAGCCTATACTCTCTCCAGCTGTCCCTCAGAGCTTGGGAATTTTATGGCTACAGCAATGTGACCAAAAAAGTGCTTCCTACAGGATGTCAATATGAGGAGGCCTCTCTTTGCAGGTCACTGGAGCCAAATCAGGGGCTGCCCTGAGGCACTGAGACATGTCTTGTGGGTAGAACAGGGTCCCCAAGCTTCCTGAGACTGGGTCATAACTCTTTATCCATCAGCTTGAGCTGTGCACAACAGAGGAAGAAAGGACAGCATAGCCAAAGGCATCCCTCCATAAGGCTATCATTAGCATGCATGAGGTCATGCTTGGGAGCTGCCCAGATAGGGGACCTGCTCAGATAGGGGACCTGGTCAAGTCAGGGAATAGGGTTTGCGGCTTCTACTGAAGCCCTGGCTTCTTGGAATCCTACCTCCCCCCAGCCCAAATCAACTCCCAAAGAGAAAGGCTGAGGCCTTTCCCCATTTCTCCTGTGGCCTCCCCTGGTGTCCTCTGTTAATGTTCACAACATCTGAACCTGAGGTTGAACTGAACCTGCATCGTAACTTGTCCCTTGTCACTGGCCAATCATCTCTGCAAAGACAACCACACAGCCTGGAGTGCATCTCTAGGAATGCTTTATTGTTGCACTGGGGAGTATCACATGGACTGTGCTCTCCACCTCCCCTGTCTCATCTTAAGTGCCCTGCCCCCCGAGGCTTTCTAGACCTCTGCCCCCACCCACAAATTATGGTACACTCATGATAGAATATGTGTGTGTGTATATATCTATAGATAGATGTGTCTGTATAATATATATATATTTAACTATATGTACATAAACACATTTTTAATATTGATAAAATACTGACTGTACAGTATTTATAGGTACAAATAAAACAGATAGGTTTAAACATTACAACTGGTTGGCTGGAACCCATCCCACTCCAGTTTATTCAGCCAAAAATAACAAAGCACCAGTTGGCGTTTGGCATTTGACTTTGCATGTGAACCAACATGACTGGTAGGTAGGACAGGTCAGGTTTGGATCAAGTCCCAGTGGACTGAGATGACACTAAGCCCTTCGATCTGACAGGCTGGCTGCTTGAACCAGGGACCAGATCTCTGCTGCAGGAAGAGGCTGTCATATCAGCTTGCTACCATAGGCAAGAAGAGCAGGAAAAGTGATGCAAACGCAGATAGTGTCTCCTCGCCACCATCTGCTTTTATTCAGCCTGTGAGGTGTCTGTTTACTTGCTAGACATGGCATTGCATAGCCAATGGCTACATGGGACCCTAGGGAGTTGCAGATAAAGTATGGGGCCCAAGTCAGGGGAGACTGGTTCATTGGTCTCTTCAGATCTGAGAAAGGAAGGTTCTCCCCACTCTCACATCCCAAGCTATCCCAAATCGTCATGTCACCTACTGGGACCCATCGTTGCCCCCTCCTTAAATCAGCCTCATAAAAATCAGCATCTTATTTATACAAATCAAACAGCTCCTGGTGGGTGGGACTGCACTGTGCTCTGCCCCTGTGCCTGTCCACTCCAGTCCAATTTCTCTGCAAAAGCCAGTTCAGGATCAATGCTGGGCCCAAAGGAAAGACCAGAACCTCCTGTCCAACCTCAAAGGGACCCTAGCAGCAAACAGGATGACTTAACCTCTCGGAATAGCAGAGAACTGGGAGCACACACTGCTCTCTGTCTCTTCAACCCACAGGCAAGAGAGCTGGGAAGACTTTAGACTGACTGGTCGCTCCATGGACCCAGAGGGCAGTAGCTGTCTTCCTGCTCTGAAAATGACTCCTTTCTCTCAGAAGAGCAGAACACAGGTTCAGGGGTGGAAGTGGAATGGAGACCGGACACTGAAATTCTCTTTTCCTCCCTTGTACATATGGAGGAACTTCAGGAAGTAAGGGGGACTGCATGGACTTGCCTCTACCCTTAGGAGCAGCATCCATCTGGGGGCTCTCTGCTCTCATCCCCCCTCACTGCCTTTGTGCCAGGGGGCCTGGGTAGTGGCATTCTGGGATCAGGCTGAGGCTCACAACTTTGTCTCAGGGCCAGCTGTCTGCAGGGTTGGGAAGGAATCCCGGATCTTTGCCACCTCCATGGCGCACAGGTGTCCGAAGACTTTGTTGTACCAGTCAGGAGAACGGCCCCTGAGGAGGTAGAAGCAGGAAGGCATGAGTTATGGGTTCTTTCCTTGAGTCCCTGCCAGGGACAAGGAAGATAGGACTTGCCTCCTAGGATCAGGAGCATGGGGCGGGGCGGTGGGGGGGTACCAGGGCTGAGGGGGTTTTGTACCTGAGGTCAGCACGGCAGATGTGAGTGAGCCGGGAGCGGCCCAGGCCACAGGGCTCCATGAGGTACTGGGACGTGAGCATCAGAGCCCGCACCCCCGACTCCGGCACAGGTTGCTCAGGATCCAGGGACTGAGACACGAGAAGGCAACCCCCACGGGGCAGGTCAGAGCGCCACATCCTGTGGGGAAGGGATGCACACATTCAGCTTCCTGGCATCGGTTTCCTCCCCACCTCCCCAGTCCCCCAAGCACAGAAGCGTGACAGTTCAAGCCCCTCACCGGAGCACCACAAAGTCGCGGCAAGGATGAGGTGCCATGCTGTCAGTGACGTAGTGGTACAGCTCCACACCCGGCATCAGGGCTTCCAACACCTGGGCCCGCAGAAGATCCTCATCCCAGAGGGCCCTCTCCCGCAGGACACGGTGTAGCACCACAGCTGGAGGGGCTGCCACTTCTGTGGATGCCTTCCACACACGCAGTGGGTGCCCGTCTGGTGCCTGTGAGCCACAAGAGTGGGGACAGGGGCAGCTGTCAGGGCTGGAGAACTCCCACTCCACCCCTGGGCACCGGCCTGCCCTCACTCCAGCCCCCAACAAGGGAAGGCTGCAGGGCTACTCTGCTAACCCCAGCCAGATCCAGACAGACCAGCCCTGTGTTTCCTGTCCTCTTTCTCCTTTCCAGATTTCTGCTCCTCTGCCTGCTCAAGAGCACAAAAAGATGACAGGACACATATTCTCCAAGGCCTACTAGGCTCTACCAAGCAATTGGGCACAGTGCTTGGAATTTCTGGAACCGAAGATGGTGGTCATCCTCAATGAACTCCCCCACCTAGCGTGGAAAGTGGAGCACGTGCAAAGCAACAAAAGCTGCCACTCCTGGTGCCTTTTGCATGTACCAGGCCCTATACAAGCCTCTTACCCTGATCCTGTGAGGGGGTTTTTACTATGACCATGGCAAACCTCAGACTTGTGGCCTTACTTATAATCAGAATTGGAGAAAGAACATGGCTCATGTAAAGAAGGACAGAGAGAAGTCACCTCCAGCCTGGGGCATGACTGGAGCCTTTGAGTGGAGGAGGGGGCATATCAAATTGGGGCTGAAAATGGCTGGGGAAATATAATGCTTGGGGCAGGTCCATCCTGGCAGAAGAACAGCAGCGGCAAGAAGCACAAAGGTGGAAATGTAAGGAGCTTGGCATGACTGCGGTGCAGGGAGGGATGGGAGTGAGGCTCTAAAAGTAGTGACCTGTCTGAAGCAGGCCTTCGGGAAGGTAATGCCAGCAGGTGCTCCCCAAGACAGAGCCCTGGTCTCGTTTGCTTCTCACTTCCTTACGGTGCTTGCTCTGCTGCCTGCCATTCTCCATTCTCCGTGCAGAAGCACAGTGAGAGGCGAGGCAGCTCCTTCCTTGGGGATCCTTGCACACAGTCTGTGCTCTGTCCCCTCCTGGTCCCATGGCCAGCCTGGGCAGCAAGGTCCTCACCTTCTTGCAAGCCAGCTCTGTGTGCTGGGGCCCCGGCATGCTCATCCAGCCCTTGAAGCGCTCAGCAGCATTGTGCAGTAGCTCCTGGATGCTCTCTTCCATATAGAGGCTCAGGCTTACACCAGCAGCCCGGGCCTGCCGCAGTTCAGCCAGGGCTGGGCCCGGAGGGCTGAGTTCAGCTGCACTGTAGGAGCCACACAGTTGCAGCACCATGTCTTGGGGCACCTGGGAGAGCATACACAGGCTGGGTTGGGGGCCATGGAGAGTGGCAGAGAGTCAGGGACCCCCAGTCCTAGAGCCTGTGTGGTCTGCCAGGTTCATTTTAAGGGAGCAGAGGTCTGGCTGCTGCAGGGTGGTAGATGAAAAACTGTAGGGGAAGAGCTGAAAGTAGGAGATTGAGGCATAGGTGGTCAAGATTGTCCCTATCCCTGATTTAGGGTGCAAAGGTCAGGTATGTTGGTTCTACTGGGTCTGGGAAGTAGGCACCATGGCCTAGAGTGACTCACCTGGAAAAGTTTCTTGCAGTCACTGATCATGTGTGATAGGCCCTGGGTGGCAGCCATGTTCTCATTCAAGTCCCTAGGGCCTGGCCGGCCAACTAGGCTGCGTTTGCTCTTGATCCTGGAGGGAAGGGCCACGAAGAGAGGATGGCACAAGGGCACAAGACAAGCTCCCCAGAAGCCTGCTTGCCAGTCCTGAACACAAAACAATCTGTTGCCCTTTTCAAGCCCCTGCTTCACAGCATCCAACCAGTCCCAGGCCCCTGAAGAGTCAGACTGACCCCTTGTGGTGGTGCTTGGGAACTGCAGTGCCAGCCAACCAGGGCCAAAAAGCCAATGAGCCCCAAACCCTCCCTGCCATGCCCTGCCCTGTTTCACCTGGGTGAGGGGTTATCCTTCTTGGAGACATTGAGGTGAAAGATAGAAGGTGCCAGGCACACTGCCAAGTTACCGGCTGTCATCTGGTTCTCCTCAGCAGAGGCAATGTCACTTAGGAAATAGAGCAGGGTCTGTAGTACCTCTCGGTTCTCATCGGGGAGCAGCAAGGTGGCGGCTTGTGTGGCTGCCAACCATTGATCCTTGGGGAGGACTGTGAGGAAGGCATGACAGAAGGGCTTCCTTACTCCCCAAGGGCCTCTGCATTCCAGGAATGTAGAAGGCACAGCAGTCCCAAAGTGAAATTGGTAAGGGGGGAGGTGGACTCTGGGGGTGGGGGGGGTCTCTGGGTGCTAGATCAAGCCCAGGTCTAATATGAAGTGTACCCTTGTGGAAGTCCCTGCCTTTCTTCAGGGCCTCAGTCTATCCTTCCATATAATGGGTTTGGGGAATAGAATGTGGTCTTTAACAACCTTACAACTTGGCATAGAAAATCTTTCACTGAGCTCATGGGCATGGCTATACTTGCCTGCACAAGGTTTATCTTAGACAAACTCTAGGATTCAGGAAGGCTGAGAACCTGGCAAGTTACTGGGGATAGGTGGGTGACTCACGCTGGTAGATCTGCAGGAAAGTGGTAGTAAGCTTGCTGGTGAAGATGGGCTCGGGCAGGTCCCGGAAATACTGCTTCAGTAAGTCAGCCACATCATAGGCCGACTGGCCCTCATAGCAGACATTGTCAGGGGAGGTCTCATTCATTTGACGCAGGTTCTGGATCCTGGACTTCACCCCAGACTTGCGGAAGATGCCCACCTGGCCCATGTAGGGGAGGGAAGGAGACTGTGAGGCCAGCCATAGACTGGGTGTCAGGAGTGTAGGCCACCCCAGAGACCCCCAAGCCTGGCAAGCTTCCTGCTAGGCAGGGTAGGAGAGAAGTGGAAAAATCAAAGAGATGGGTTTTTATAGCTTTGGGTTCAAGGAGAGAGATGGCCTTAGGGGAGATGTGTAGGAAAACAAGGTCCTAGCCTAAGGCAGGCTCCTGGTAGATGGGGGCTACTGCACTTGGGTGAGAAAAAAAAGCTGGCCCAGAGCCAGGTGAAAGGGAGCTTGAGTCCATCCTTCTTTGGCCTTCATGAGTATAGGAAAAGTCTCCGTTGGGCCAGCCCAACCCAGGGGAAAGGCCAGAGTGGCTCCCCTCCCCAATCCCTCAGCCTTGGACTTCTTTCCCATTGCCATCTCTTCTCATGCTCCCTGGAAGGTCTCACCTGGTCCAGGCACTGGCTACGCAGGTAGCGCATGGCTTGCTGAATGCTCTGGGGTAGTGGCTGGCCTGTGCGCTGCACGTGAATGAGGGGCGGCACCCCAAATACCTGCTGGCCCCGGTAGTCCGGTGTCTTGTTCCTCTTCATGAACTTGGGGACTGACCTATTCAAGGGAGAGATAAAAGACCAGGAATGGGGACAGGGTAGGCCCAGACACAGCTTGGAGACTGTCTCCAGTCTTGGGGACTCAGGTGGGGTAAGAAACATGCCATCTGCCCAGAGTCAACATTCATTGAGCACCCACCCTAGACCCAGTCCTAGGGAGTCCCAGAGGAACACGAGGAGCTCTCAGTCTGGTCAAGGAGACGACTGCATTGACAGGCAGTGACAATACACATGGCCAGAAGTGAGCCAAGAACTTAAGGAAGACCCACAAGGGAGGGGAACTGTACCTAGCAGGTCAGGGAAGGCTTCATAGGGAAGGTAGAAATTCAGCCAGTTCTTGAGGTATAGGTAATCATTGTCCCAGAGGAGAAATGGGGAAAAGAAGACATTCCAGGCAGAGAGAAGAGCATGGCCAAAGGTAAAGAGGCAGGAACCAGATTCTACATTCAGAGAAGGGTGACTGGTCTGCTGGCCTGAATGGTGGTGGTGTTTGGGTGTGGTAGGGTAAAGACCCTGACAGATGAGGCAGGGTCGAAACGTGAAAGGATCATGATGGGAAGGAAACTGGACCTTGTTCTTTGACAATAGAGAGCCACAGCAGGGTTTTGTCAGGAAAATGACCACCAAAGCTTCATTTCAGGACATTCTCCTTGGTGGCAGCATGGAAATTGGGATAGAAGAGGTACCCCCTTCACCCCCTCCTCATTCATGGCACACACTCATGTAAATCCCACATGCATCTCCCACAGACATACATAAGGCACCCAGAGTCATGCTGGCCTCTCCAGTTTCCCAGCACATCCCACCAGTCCACTGACATAGGGGTCTGCCTGCCTGACCCACCATCTGAGGGTGACCCTCACAGGACCATGGAGTGGGGCAGGGAGGGATCTAAGACCTGGATAAGCAGCTCAGTGCCCACTCTGGCCCAGGAGGACTCACCAGACCCAGCCCTGTTTATGGGGGATGGTGTACTTCTCCATGAAAGTGGTGAGCCGCAGCAGTGAGCCCTTGTGCAGGAGGTGTATCTGGCTGGCAAACTGCCGATTGATCTCCAGTGACTCTGAGTTGAGGCTGGGCCGGTGAGAGTTCTGAAAGCTGTGCCAACGGAGCTTCCTAGTGAGGGGCGAGGGGGTAGAGAAGGCTGGAGGAGCAGGTTTCAGCAAACCTTAGGAAAAGTTGTGTTCTTCTGGTCCTTTTCCTCCCCCCGCCAAAGAAAAAATATACAGAGATGGGACCACTGTCAGCACTGCTGCAGGGCTCTAGGGTGGAGGAAGCTTAGTCTTGATTTCCAGGGCTGCTCAGAGGCCAAGATGTTGTCAGGGATGGTGGTACAGAGATCAGGCCCATCTAGTGCCAGCAAGCAGTATGAGCCCCTCTTCCATTCAAGACTGCAGGGGAGGGGCTGCTCTGAGAAACCCAGAATAGTGAAGCTAGGGATCAGTGACCATCTCCTGCAATGCCCTTGATTTACACATGGGTTAACTAAAACCCAAAAGGAGCTACAGTTTGCACAGGCCATAGCAGAGGCAGGTCCTAAAGCTTACATTCTAGATTCCTGAGTCCCGTACTCTTTCGCTTTCTCTTCTGGGACTGGCTGCTGGCAGGCAATCACTCAGCCCCTAAGAACTTTCCCCTGCGCCTTGTGACTAAAAAATTGACAGCAGGAAGGGGGGATATGGAGGGGGGATAAGGAAGGGAGGGGAGAAAAGGGGTAAGGGAAGAGATGAGAGGAGGGGGAGGGAAAGGGAGAAGGGAGAAAGAGAGAGACAACAGAAGCCCTGCCCCACCCTTACCCTGAACTCCCACCTGCAGGGTCTGGTAAGTGAGGCCCCGACACCTGAATCTCGTCGCTCACGGGGTACTGATGTCTGGAGTCCAGTCGGGGACCCTGTAGCCTCAGCCTCGTTCATGGAGTTCCCGCTACTATCCAGCTCACTGGAGGAGGCCACAGTGTCGGAAATGTGTCCTTCTTCCACAGACAGGCTGGAGGAAGAGGTTGGTTCCCCCCCTGAATGTGTCTCCTCCTCATGATCCTGGGCAAAGCCTGGGGCCCCAGCCTCTGCCTGTGCCAGGAACTCAGCCTTGGCGGGGGTCTGAGGCTGAGCCAGGACTCCAAGTTGTACATCCACCTGGCCCAGGGCTAGGGACTCCCTGAGGGCTGGAGCCTCTCCCTGGGTCCGAGCCTCACTGGTCTGGCCTTCCACTCCATCGGTGGCTATTTCTACTGTTGAAGTGGCCTCCTCCTCTACTTCCTCCTCCTCTTCTTCTTCCTTATCTCCAGGCCCCAGGTCTGGGCACATGGCCTGAGACCAGAGCTCTACCCGCTGCTGCAACCCCCACACGTGCTGAAGGATGTCATCCAGGTGAGTGTAGCTGTCCCCACCTTCCTCCTCCTCCTCTTCAGCCTCGGCCCCAGCCAGTACAGGCTCAGCTGGGTACAGCTCCGGCATGTTGTCATAGATGCTGGTGTGGCTGCCTGTAGAGCCACAGGAGCCCCGGCGCCCTTCATAGCCCCAGTGCCTACCTGGCTGCCAATCTGCCAGGTGGTGTCCATCCTCAGGGCACAGGCTCTCAATGGACAAGGAGCGAGGGAATGTGCCTGGTTTGTGGTCTCTGGGCACATGCACCAGGCAATCACCCCGGTGTGCCCGCTGAGGATGCTGGAACATGGCCACAGGCCAGGCCTTCCAGGCCCTCTGAGTCTCAGCGTCACTGCCACTGGCTGAGGTGGCCACCCGGTTCTTGGCCCGATAGAGGAAGCCATGGCGACTTTGGAAAGAGGAAGCTTTGGCAACCTTCTCTGAGGTGACTGAGCTGTGCTCCAGATCTACTTGCCGGCCTCCACCCTTTTCTTTCCGCCTCAGAGACTCAAGGTGCTTGAGGAAGCTCTGGGAACGGTGCTTCTTGGTTTTGTCCTGGGGGCCCTCCTGGCCCCGAGTGGGGCTGAGGAAGGGCCAGTGACTTGGGCTGGAAGAACGGCCTAGCAAGGGCAGATCCGCTGGCTCAGGTGGTAGGCTCACAGTGACAGCAGGCAGGGAGGTGGCACTAAGCTCAGTGAGGACGCCCTCACAGCCAGAGGTCACTGGCAGGCCAGGGCTTGGTGGGGCCGACAAGTCAGAGGAACCCACGCGAGACCACTGCTTACTTTCTCGCTCAAAGGTCCAGTGGTTGCTGATGGTACAGTGCTCTTCCTCCTCTGAGTCTTCATTCTGAGAAGGGCATCACAGGGTAGGGTCACAGGTGGCCAGTCCACAAGCCCTTTCTTGGGCTCCATTCTCTGCCTCCAAACTCTTTGGGGACTTGGGGGCAAAGGGCCCTGCTCTCTGACTGAGAACACATCCTCGGAGTGGGAGGCACTCCTCGGCACTCTGGGAGTGCTGGAAGAAGCCTGGAGTCGTGGAGAAAGCCTGGATGCAGGGCAGTGGTCATCTGATCAATCAAATCCCTACACATTTTACAGACAGGGAAACCCAAACAAATGAGAAGCTGCTTGCCCAAGGTCATACAATGTCACAGGAAGATCCTCTGGAGAAGGGCGTGGCAACCCTCTCCAGTATTCTTGCCTGGAGAATCCCATGGACAGAGGAGACTGGAGGGCTATAGTCCATGGGGTTGCGAAGAGTCAGACATAACTGAGGGACTAACAATTTCACTTTCAAGTGAGTGACACAGCAGGGCTGGAATCCAAGCATCCTGACATCCTGTCCTCAGCAGCCTCCCAGCGAGTCTTGAGGCTATAGTCTTATATAAGAATCCCAGAATGCCAGAGCTAGAGAGGATATTTTACATTTTCTTTTCTACTTTGCAAAGTGGGGAATCTGAGGCCCAGAGAGGGGAAGAGGCTTGTCTAAAGTCACTGAAAAGTCAGTGCAGAGCTGCGGCTAGGAGCCCAAGGTCTTCCGTTTCCCTGGCAACCTGTTGACGGCAGGACTTTGGTGGAAAAACCTCCAGAGAAAACCCATTAAGTCTGACCTCAGGGAAGGACAGGTTCATTTCCCCACCTTCCAGGGCTACATGCAGACCCAGAGCCATCTTAGTTTCTGCAATCCCAGACTAGCAGAGTCAGAAAAGTTTTTGGAGGGTATTAATGCTGCCCTCAATTCATTGTAAAGCTGGAGAAAATGAAGACTTCAAGAAGTGAGACTGGACATCCTGACTTCTAAGATCTTCTAAGATCATATGGGCCATGATTTTCCATCACATTATTCTGTCTCTGCCCCCTAGTCAAGGAATTTTTGCCATCACAGAGAAGGCATATAGGCAGATAGACTTCCCTGAGGGATGGCCATCACTAGGTCAAGTTATTAGAAAATCCAGGAGGGAGTAGTGGGCTGATAAGGCTGAGTGATGCTACAGGTCAGGGTACTTTTTCTCACACCCCAACTTTGAGACCAGGCTAGCCGAAACCCAGCAGGCTCATAAAGCCCCCTACATTCTACTCCCAGGCTGGAGCAAGGCACCACACCAGACAGCCCAGACTCCTAGGACACTGGAACTAGTTTCATAAGTGGTTTGTGTATGTTCTGGGTTCCCCGTGATGCCACAAGACCACAGACCCTATCCTTGCCCTAACTCACCTGCTTGCATTGAAAATGAACCTCCAGTTTCATCGAGGCACAATTGTTCAAGGTCATCAGCCTCCTGCAAGTAATATAAAGCAGGGTTCACCCAAGGGTCACAAGCCACTGAGCCTGCAGGGACTAGCCTAGACACTAGGAAGATGCCGTCTACTGCTTCACATATTCAAGACATCAAAATATCTCCCAAGTCCCTGTGTTCATGAAGGTTTCAGTGCTAGACATGATGCTGTAGAGATTATGGGCTCTTGTCTTCTAGGAACTTATAGATGTGAGAAAAAAAAAAAACAACCACTACAGAGATGGGACACATTCAAGAACAGAATAGACAGAAGGCATAGAGGGCACACAGAGGGTGGGATGAGCAACTTCCATGAAGCAGGGGGGTGCAGTCAGAGATAAGTCTTGCTGGAGAACAGAAATGGGATTTGGATCGAGAGAGAGACAGAGACTCCTATCCCAGTCATCAACCAAAGCCTGTGACAAGGTAGAGAGGGAAATGGTCAGTAAACAGACCAGTGCATGTGTGAGGGAGGACTGAGGCTGATAAGGTTGGTCAGAACCATGTTGCAAAAGGCCTCAGGTGTCATGCTAAAAATCTCTAGACTTCTTTCTGCAGACAGCGACATATTTCAAGCAGAGGAGCACTCGTTGGGAAGCTGACTCTGGTGGCTCTTGTGGGGTTGGATCAGAGCAAGGAGGGGAACACAGAGATGGAAGACAGGAAGGCCAGTTAGAAGGATGGATCCAAGAAGTCATGGTTTGGCCTCAAAAAGTAGAGGGGGACAAATTAGAGGAATGTTTGGAGGCTCTAACTGAAGGGAAAAAAGGCCAAAGACCTTGGCTTTCTAGTGCCTGGGGGTGGGTGGTGAGGATATCACAGGCACAGAGACAGAGTGAAGAGTGAAGAGCATGAGAGCAGCAGATGAGCTTTGTTAATAGGCAGGTTACTCTGTCAGGGGGGACAAGGATGGCTTTTTTCCCATGAGGAAGCCCCAAGCCAGGCCCATGACCTCCCAAGGCCTAGCCCTTAGCACCCCTACCTGCACAGGGCCCCCAAAGAGTCCTCGTCCAGAAAACTGTGGTCCTTCTTCACAGAGCCAATATCCACGGGAAACAAACCTTCTGTATGGCAGAGAAAAACAGAGATGAGTTGAGGGAAGCAGGTTAGAAACTCAGTGCCAGGGACCCTTCAGTGAGAAGAAGGGGGCCCAGGCAGCGGGGAGGCAGGCAGGTGAGAGCTGAGAAGGAAGAGAAAGGATGCAGTGAAGGAGGGACCCAGGGAGCTCATGGTTGGCCACAGGGGGAAGATCAAGGAGAAGACAGAAAGGTCGAGCTGGACAAGAGGACCCATCAGTCAGTGAGGCAGGTCCATGCAGGAAGCTGCTCAAGACAGAGAACCTCCTCCCTGGCCCAAGGTGAACCAGGGGGACCAGAGAAAGAAGGACACTGTGCAGTCAAACAATAGCTCCCTTTCCCTTCTGCTCAGAGCAAGAGCACCTGCTCTCTAGGGTTTGAGAAGGGAAAGGGAGTGAGGAAGGAGTGAAGGAAGAGGAGAGAATACCTGCAAAATCTCACAGTTCTCTGCCTATTAGCAAAACAAGCCCATGAACTCATTTACAAATGTTAATTGAGCACTAACTTTCTGCTAGGCACTGGACACAACAGTGAATGAGACAAAAATGATCCAAGCTTTCATGGAGTTTGCACTCTCACAGGGGCAACAGATGGTGAACAGTATGTGAGAGAAACAAACTATGCTGTTACAAATGCTAGCAAAGACATGAGCCAGGGTGACGGGGTAAAGAGAGCCCTTACTAAGGCAGTAACTTCTGAGCTGAGCCCTGAAGAGCAAGAAGGGGCCAACTGGGCAAAGAGTCTGGGAGAAAGTCTCCAGCAGGACCAAAACTAAGGCTCCAAGGAGGGCGAGAATCTGGTGTGAGCAAGTGGTAGAAACGAGCCCAGAGAGTAGTGAGCAAAGTGGAGAGAAGCATGTGGGAAGTGGGTGATGCAGTTTTGTTGGCTGGAACAAAGGGCTGCCTCTCAGCTCATTTTGGGTGTGCCATGAAGCCCACGGAGGAGTGAGTAACAGAGTGGAGTGGGGTATACTGTGGTCAGGCCTGCACTCCTGGGGTATACTGTGGTCAGGCCTGCACTCCCTGGGTCACTCTAGCTGCTGAACATCAGAGAAGAGGACGGAGTGTAGAAAGGAGGCTGTAGCACTAGGCTGGGCGAGGTCACACTAATGTGATAGTTAAGGTGGTATGAAGTTAATTGATTCAAGATATAGTCTGGAGGGAGCAGGGTCCTGCTAAAGGGTTAGATACAGGCACAAAGGAAAAGAGAACCAGAGGATGATGCTGGGATGTGAGGCTTAAGTGGTGGTGGCGCCATCTGAGCTGTCAGACAGCTGAGTGAAGATACTGAATTGAGAGTTGAAGAGATAAATATGGAGTTTGGGCCTAAGGTCTGGACGCAGAGACACTGGGGAGTCATCAGAATATACATGGTGCTCAGAAAAGGATCTCCTTATAGATAAATGTCCAGAGAGAAGAAGGGCTAGGACAGAGCCCTGGGACATTCTAACAATGAGGAGCAGTTAGAGGAAGCTGAGCCAGCGAAGGAGACTGAGAGTGGCTGCAAGAAAGCTGGGAGAAGAGGGCAGTCCAGGAGCTGGAGCGGCCAACTGCACTGAACGCTATTGAGAGATTAAGTCAGGTCTGAGAAGTGACCACTGAATTTGACCACATGTAGGTCCCTGGTGAACGTGACAAGGACTGTTTTGTTAGCGAGGTGGGAATTAAGCCAAGGTACAGGTGGGGATGTGGGAAGAATGGAAACAGCAAGTATGAACTAACTCTAGAGAAAAACAGAAAAACGAAGGAAAGCAGAGAAATAAGGCCATTGGGAGGGAAGGTGAAAGCAGTGTTGCTAGAGTGCACCCTCCATGTTACGTCTACATAAATACTGTCCTTGGGAGCTGTGCAGTGCAGCGGCCCTGCTTAAGACAAGGCACTTTAACATATTGGAAACCCCAGAACTTGTGAGAGCTGATGAGCAGGCAGGAGAAAAGACAGGATAGAGGTTGTAACTATGGGAGTAGGCCAGGATAAACAGCTTCTTGTGTGGTGGGAGAAAAAAATTCTTATGGGCCCCATGTTCCAACTGAAAAATGAGGGATAAGGCAACTCTGGGGTGGGGCAGGGGGAACCACTGAGTGACCTTACCTTCAAAAAGCTGAGCATACTTAGGGAATCCTGTTGCTCGGAGCCATCTGCATGCTTTTTTGGCCTCAGCTTCTAAAACAGATGAGAGGAAGAGAGACAAGCAGAGGAAGAAGGTTAGCAGGTGCTGGCGGCAAGCCACCCCGAGTATGCACCCTTGAACCTCCAGCAGGGAGGCACCTATAGCTCTGGTGACCTGGAAATGACAACAGAAGCACAAAGGGGCTAGCACATTTACTCCATGTCACAGCTAGAATTTCCCCTCTGCTCCCCAAACCCTACTCCCTGGATGTGATGGGACACCTCTCTCATACTGTATTCTCTGCCCAAGAAAAGGACCACCACCAGCAACAACTCCAAGTGACATCTGGGGTCAAGGAATACTGCCAGGGGAAGAAAACACCATTGTGTCTTCATCCCCTCCTTCCCCCACCACCCGGGAGGCATCCCCTTCCACAGCCCAGGTCCAGCTAGGGATACAAAATGTTCAACAGCATTATTCTGTTTTCCATCATCATACCTAATATTCCCCAGCATTCTGATAACAAATCTCATTAAACACACACCATAAGCTGTATTTTAATATGCTCATTGTACATATATCCAAACAGGTTCAGAAAGGAAGGGCTCATCTACAAGTCTCACACAATAAGGCAGTAGTGCAGAGGCCAGAGTCCAAGCTCAGTGTGACTCCTACTCAAGGTTCCGACCCCTTCTAACAAGGCAGCTCTTCCTCTCCCATCACCAAGGTCCAGGTGGGGATGCCTCCATCCCCATGGGGCTTCCCTGGACTGCTCCAGCCCTCCCCCATGGCTTGGCCTCTTTGTGGCACAACACAATGCTGACTGTTCAGCTGACAGTGCTGGCTTTTGGGAGTCTTGGAGGGCAATGGTTGAGTTAGCCTCCCAACTCTGCCCTGGGAGTGTCTGGCACAGGGTGGGGTACCCCTGCTAGCCTCAGTGGAGACTTGCAGGTGGACTAAAGCCACAGTGGAGGGCCTCCTGGCCATGGCAGGCTGAGTACCTCCAGCAGAACCCTGGGACTGCCCAGTTCCCCACCCATGGTACCAGGTTGGGACCATGGGAGCTGTCATTGATGTTGGGGCCACAGAGAGGCTGCTGCCTCTGCAGAGCTGTTCGGCCTATGGAGTCCTGCCCCCACATTTCTACCACTTCCTTAGAGACTATAACCAGGAGCCTCCGAGGAGACTGGCGGGGATTTTCCAAGACAGGAAGAGCTCTCTCGCCAGTGCTCTCCCACAGGGAAATCCAAGATGAGATTCTGGCAGCCAGGAATCATAAGGTAAAGGACACAAACATATTTCAGAGATGCTAGGTGGGTAGACAAGGGAAGGAAGAATGTGGGAAGGTGGAAGTTGGTTGAAAAAAGATAGGCTCCCCAAGGGTCACTAATGAGGAGTTGTTGCAGAGAAGAAAAGGCTCTGTGGCTTCTGGAGCCCCTGAGGGCTTAATGGGCCAACAGGGAAGGGGTGGGGATGAACACTCTGCATTTCTGAAAGCGTGTGCATTGGCTGCTGCCGTCCCAGTATCTGTCTCTGCAAGTAACGGTAGCCAAGTTTGCTCATGTCTGTGATCCACACAGATCAGTGTGGGACCATGCACCTGGATACACTCCCCCTCAGGCGCCTCAGTCTGTACCCACACCTGCGTCTGTGTGCACACGTGTTTTACGTCACCATAACCTTCTAACCTACGACAGAGATCTAAGAATCACAAGGACCTCTGAGAGGTACTGGAAAGTGTTTGCTCCCACAGAGCCCAGCTAGCAGTACCTCAGCCCCTCTGGCAGGGGGCAATGCAAGACCAGAAAAGGATCTGGATCTCTAGGTCAGTGGTGATCTGGGGACACAGTGAGAACAGCCCTAAGGAACTTCATTCCAGCCCAGGCTGCATTTGACGGACATGGTTTTGCTGGTAGGACAGCTGAGTCAGCTGCCACAGCCACTTCCCTGTCTCTTGCTCCTACCAGCCCCCGGGGAAAAGGACACCCCAGGCAGGGGGACCACCCTTCAGGATCAGGTCTGCATGTCAGGAACACACACTCGAAGACCACTGTAGCCCCTGGTCACTCATGGCTAGAGACAGAACAAGGAGGAGGCGGCAGAGGAAGATGCATCCGGATGCCCTTCCCGAGCTTGGAGGAGGTGGAAGACGGCAGGAACAAAGTCCTGATCTTACACATCTGCACCTTTCACCTGAGTCACAAGGGCCCGTGGGAGAGGGGAAGGCTGCCCACTCCCCTAATGCTTAGCAGTAGCCCTGGCCAGGGTTGGTGGGAAGGGAACCAGCTCACTCAGGTGGGTGCCAAGACTTTTCATTCGTATGTAGAGCCCTCTGTGCTGTGCTGTGCTTAGTCGCTCAGTCTCATCCGACTCTTTGCGATCTCATGGACTGTAGCCGCCCAGGCTCCTCTGTACATGGGGATTCTCCAGGTAAGAATACTGGAGTGGGTTGCCATCCTCCTGGGGATCTTCCCAACCCTGGGATTGAACCCAGGTCTCCCGCATTGGGAAGCCCAAGAATACTGGAGTGGGTAGCCTAGCCCTTCTCCAGAGGATCTTCCTGACTCAGGAATCAAACCAGGGTCTCCTGCATTGCAGGCAGATTCTTTACCAGCTGAGCTACCAGGGAAGCCCTTAGAGCCCTCTAGCTTCCTGCTATTCAAAGTGTGATCATTGGACTAGCAGCATTGGCTTCACCTTGGAACTTGTTAGAAAGGCAGAATCTCAGACTTCCTGAAACAGAATCTACATTTAAGTCCGTCCTTGGGTGATCTGCATGCACATTAGAGTTTGGGAAGCACTGGCACAAATCACCTAGCTCAGGGATTTTCACCCTTGGATGCACATTAGAATCAACTAGGAAGCTTTGTAAAAATACCAATCCCTGGGAGCCCCACCCCCAGAGGCCAATTTAATTGATCTGTGGTTCAGTTCAGTTCAGTCGCTCAGTCGTGTCTGACTCTTTGCGACCCCATGAATCGCAGCACGCCAGGCCTCCCTGTCCATCACAAACTCCCGGAGTTTACTCAAACTCATGCCCATCAAGTCAGTGATGCCATCCAGCCATCTCATCCTCTGGCGTCCCCTTCTCCTCCTGCCCCCAACCCCTCCCAGCATCAGGGTCTTTTCCAATGAGTCAACTCTTTGCATGAGGTGGCCAAAGTATTGGAGTTTCAGCTTCAGCATCAGCCCTTCCAATGAACACCCAGGACTGATCTCCCTCAGGATAGACTGGTTGGATCTCCTTGTAGTCCAAGGGACTCTCAAGAGTCTTCTCCAATACCACAGTTTAAAAGCGTCAATTTTTCGGCACTCAGCTTTCTTCACAGTCCAACTCTCACATCCATACATGACCACTGGAAAAACCATAGCCTTGACCAGACAGACCTTTGTTGGAAAAGTAATGTCTCTGCTTTTTAATATGCTACTAGGTTGGTCATCACTTTCCTTCCAAGGTGTAAGCGTCTTTTAATTTCATGGCTGCAGTCACCATCTGCAGTGATTTTGGAGCCCAGAAAAATAAAGCCTGACACTGTTTCCACTGTCTCCCCATCTATTTCCCATGAGGTGATGGGACCAGATGCCATGATCTTAGTTTTCTGAATGTTAAGCTTTAAGCCAACTTTTTCACTCTCCTCTTTCACTTTCACCAAGAGGCTTTTTAGTTCCTCTTCACTTTCTGCCATAAGGGTGGTGTCATCTGCATATCAGAGGTTATTGATATTTCTCCCGGCAATCTTGATTCCAGCTTGTGCTTCATCCAGCCCAATGTTTCTCATGATGTACTCTGCATATAAGTTAAATAAGCAGGGTGACAATATACAGCCTTGACATACTCCTTTTCCTATTTGGAACCAGTCTGTTGTTCCATGTCCAGTTCTAACTGTTGCTTCCTGACCTGCATACAGGTTTCTCAAGAGGCGGGTCAGGTGGTCTGGTATTCCCATCTCCTTCAGAATTTTCCACAGTTTATTGTGACCCACACAGTCGAAGGCTTTGGCGTAGTCAATAAAGCAGAAGTAGATGTTTTTCTGGAACTCTCTTGCTTTTTCAATGATCCAGCAGATGTTGGCAATTTGATCTCTGGTTCCTCTGCCTTTTCTGAAACCAGCTTGAACATCTGGAAGTTCTCAGTTCATGTATTGCTGAAGCCTGGCTTGGAGAATTTTGAGCATTTACTAGCATGTGAGATGAGTGCAATTGTGCAGTAGTTTGAGCATTCTTTGGGATTGCCTTTCTTAGGGATTGGAATGAAAACAGACCCTGTCCAGTCCTGTGGCCACTGCTGAGTTTTCCAAATTTGCTAGCATATTGAGTGCAGCACTTTCACAGCATCATCTTAAGACTCTCCAAATCAGTACTTTTTAAAAGCTACAATTTGGACATACTGGAAATGGTCCAAGGGACTTTACCAAATCACACAGAATTAAGTGTCACAACTGAAATTACTACCATCTTTGAATTCCATGTCCTGTGCTCTTTCCATTGCATTATGGCACCTGCCTTCAGATGCCACATAAACAAAGGGCTTAGATTCAAAGGAACCAACTCCAGGTCCCCAAACTTTTTTCTGCCCTCTGATCTAGTGGAGTGACAAGTCTGAGTTCAAATCCTGGTCAGTCACTTGCTCTCTGACTAAGCAGTCTGACTAGCCAATTCTCTAACTTTGGCCAAGTTGTTTAACCTCTCTATGACTCAGTATTCTTTTCTGTAAAATGACAAAAATAGAATCCACCTCTAACAGCTACTGAGAACATTAAATAAAATACCAGGGATAAAAATCACTGGCACATTGTACCGAGCATTCAGCAGAGAGTTCCTACCCAACACTGACAGAAGGGTCCCAAGGAAAAAGAGAAAATGGGAGGAAAAGACCCAACTAGTATTCTTTTCTGGGCCTGGATAGTGGCTGCATATATATCTCTGTCAGAATTGGAACTAGATGGCGCAAGGAAGTGAGATTAGGAGGCAGAATTATCAAAGAGGCCACAATAATTCCAAAAGACAAAGCAGCCAAGAAGTTAGAAGCAGGGTCTGAATGAATCCCCAGCAG